TCTCTCTAAATATCCTTGAGAGAGGATTAACAGCATCAACAACAAAAAGAGTGCAACTGGATACTAGACTCTGGGTGTCCAAAATGCATCTCGAAATGTCATGTGTGAAGGGAGGTTGAGGGAAGACGAGTGTTCTGTGCAGTGCTCTCCCAGGGTGTCTGTGGCCATAGAGGGCAAAGCCTGCAAAGATGTTGAAGCCACAAGTGGAGGGGCAGATTTCGGCCCCACTTAAGAATGCTCCTCCTGATGACAACGTCTTCTCATGAACAATCAGGTTGCCTGCCATAGAGCAAGAAGAAAGGAGGCTCCCAGAAAGGATGGCTGCAGCAGGGACCCCTCCACCCCACAGTGCAAGCCAGCCCTTGCCAGCTGAGCAAATCTCATTTCACACTGGAGGTTACCCAGAGTCAGGAACTGCCAGAACTAGAACCCAGGACTCTGGGTACCCAGTATGGCATGCTTTTCTTTCTTTTTTTAAAAAAATATATTTTTATTGATTTCAGGAAGAGGAAGGGAGAGAGAGATAGACGGCTGCCTCTTACAGGGCCCCTACTAGGGGTGGCGCCCGCAACCCCAGGCATGTGCCCTGACCAGGAAATGGAGCCATGATCTCCTGGTTCATGGGTCAACACTCAACCACTGAGCCACAGCAACTGGGCTGGCATGGTTTCCTTCTTTCTTTTTTTTTAAATATGTTTTTATTGATTTTTTTTTTTTTTAGAGATAGGGAGAAAGATAGAAACATTGATGATACAAAAACAATGATCAGGCCCTAGCCAGTTTTGCCCAGTGGTTAGAGTGTCAGCCTGTGGACGAAAGGGTCCAGGGTTTGATTCTGGCCAAGGGCACATGCTTCGGTTGGAGGCTTGATCCGGGGCCCAGGTAGGGGCCTCTGCGGGAGGCAACCAATCTATGTGTCTCTCTCACATCAATGTTTCTCTCTTTCTCTCTCCCTCCCACTCTCTCTGAAAAGCAATGGGAAAAATATCCTCAGGTGAGGATTAAAAAAAAAAAAGAAAAAGAAAGAAACATTGATCAGCTGCCTCCTG